TAAAGTTAACAGCAATCCTGATAAACTGGGTCAGAACCGACACAACAAACAAGCTGGATACTGAATTCTACCTGCAGTTAATCCGCTTTCCCAAACATTGAACCCTTTTTCCTTAAAAAAAAAATTTTTCCAGTGGAAATTTCCTTGCAGACTGATCTGTCAGAGTGCTCCTCTGAGCAATGCAAAGGAAGAATAAGCAACAGCACAGGAAAAAGGTGTGTAGGAAAATGAGTGTAGAAGCTCCATGCCATCCTCTACCACCACGCCTCATTCACCCAAACCCCAGAACAAAGGAATAATTACTCCACCAGTAAAAACACAACCACAGTACACATAACTCAGCAATGGGGAGGGATTTCTTTCCCCTCCCTTCCCTGCAAGATAAGGAACAAAGAGTGGAAAACATTTGCAAAGGTGTTGAGATGAAGCGTTTTGAGGAACTGAGGCTCTTTCACCAGCCACGTACAGTTACTCCTTTTTGCAGAAGACACCGAGCAGTGCAGACATTATCCTATTTGAATTTCCTCCTACAGTTGCAGTATTTAAGGTGACACAAAATCCCTTTCAGAAAGCCTGTCAGTTCCTGAATGACTTTTTGGGAAGACAGAGAGGTTTTGGCAAGCAGCAAGGTAGCAGGAAAACAGCACAGGAGGTGTTGCAGGAAACTTCATGGTCCATCATAAACATTGCCCCAGTCAACACAGTCACAGTGCTTTGAACAAACCATCTATTGAAGCAGGGCCTGACAGATGTGTGAAAAACAACCTGCATGCAAAGCAGCATGCAAAGTATCCCATATGTTAAAAGAGGGGGAAAAATCAAGGCAAACTCCTTATTCCCTGAAGTTTGGTCAGCAGAGTGCAGGCTTCAGGTGGTGCCTGAAGTGCCTGTTCTCTTTGCTGTGGACCACTTCTGTCTCATGCTTATTCTCACGGCAGTGTGCTGTGCTTTATCCCCCTCCATAAACACCTCTCCTGCAATTTGTTATCTGTATTGCTCTAGAGAAGAAGAAAGACTCTGTTAGATCAGAGAACATGGAATTGGGGCTTAATCCACCTGAGGACCTGAAGATTTAGGGCCATGGCTTTAAAATGAAAGGCACTGGAATAAACTGAGAATTGGCTTGATGTTACTGCAGCGCTGACTTCAGAGACAATTGCCAGCTTTCTTTTAGAAAGCACAGCTCTTGGTGAGTGGATACATGGTGCAGGGAGACAAGGAGAGCGCAGGAGAAAAGGAACACCGTTTGGGTAGAAGTACAAAGCGCAGGGAAGTACAGAGGCTCTCAAGAGACACGGAAAAGCTTTGTTCCACAAGAATAAAGCTTGCTTTTCCACTTCAAACAATTCCAGCAGCCATCAGGGGAAGTGTCTCTGTACCTTGCGATATCCTTGGCAATCTGCTCGTTGAGGCAGTTGATGAAGGCAATGGAGTGAGTCCCAGAGATGTAGCTGCCGGTGATGGCAGAGTGCAGCTGAAGAGTGAGACTCCTCAGCACCGGGTACATCAGCAACGACAGAGTCACCACCTAAAATGCAAGCCGTGTGAGTGATGATGCCAGGGGAAGGTACTGCCTTTTGTAAAAGCAGGGACTTACCTGTGGCTCAAGGGAAGTCTCTGGCCTTCTTTCAACATTACAGTAATGCTACTCGTAACTTCAGTGAAAACATCCTCATAGGGAGATCCATTCTCCTTCCATGGGGCAGGAAAGGGTGAGGTTTGGAGGCTGCATCAGCCCAGAAGTGCCCAGACCTCTGGGTTACAGACCCTACCACACAGTCTCTGCAGCCACAACTGGTTTTCCAAAGGAGAATAAGGAGGTAAGTCGCCTGTTGTCTCTGTTAAAACACATCTTTCCTGCTTTAGCTGCAGGGTGAGGCATGTCCACCCCTCTGGGAATCCGTGGGGATGGGACCCTCTGCCTCCCCACAGATGTATAAAGGAGAACAGTAGGTCAAGTAGGGTAGGGATCTGCCCATAGAAAACAGAGGTGGGCTGGAGCCTGGTGTGGGAGCAGAGCCCTGGGATAAGACAGTCTGTGCAGGGACAATTACTCTCTCCTGCTGGTGGATGTTGTACAGCCCACCCAGGCTATGACAGACTCTCACTAGCAGGCAAGGGAGAGAAGACTTAAGCACGGGATTTAAGTTCATTTCTTCCTAATTCTCTCATACTAATAGGACAGTGAAATTGCATCCTTTGGGGCACAAAACCCCTAATGGACACAGCCCAGGTCTCTGTCCAATGGGCTGCAGAAAACAGTAACACCTTCTCCATAGGCTGGCAGCGCAGTGGCAACAGGTTGGTTTTGTGTCCATTATTGCTGCCAAGCCCCTTCGCTGCTCTTTGTACCCACATGCCATAAACAGCCACATGAAAATAGACAATCAGCTCAGCAGGACGCTGCAGGAGCAGCAAGGGCAAGGTTAATTTGGTGTGCTGAGTAATGGCTGCAGGATGGTGCCATACCCGGGGCTGCAGCACTCACCCTCTCCGCACAGCTGCTCTCTCTTTGTCTTTTGTCTTGTTTTGGAATAAACAGCATCTGGCCCTTATTCAGCCACAGCGATGAAAAAGGTGCTTATAACACTAAGAATATATTCCTTATTTCCTCCCTCCTTTGTCCTCTGAAAATTCCTTGGGCCCATGTCATAACTTGGGTTCTATTAAGAATGAATTAAGGAAATCTCTTGTCACCACAAGAGCTCATTCGCATTTGGAACATGACGGATGAGCTGTATCGGTTGTCTCCTCTTTTCCAACCCATTTGAGGAAATGTTCTTTGTTATCACAAGGGTTCTCATAAGAATTTTTAGAGCTGCTTTTGTGTTTTTTCCCCCACTAAGCCATTTAGCAAATATGATGCAACAAATCCCAGGAGCTACTCAAGAGAGTTAAAACAAACAGAAATATGCTGGTCTATGTATTTTTCCAGATTAGAATGTAATCATGCTCCCTGCTTAGCAAAGAAAACATAATCTGACCTGTTCAGCACGGCAATCATTAATCTCCTTGGAAAATGTAAGTGCGTGGGATGGGGAAATCCCCATGACCATTTGCATTGAAGAGCGACCACTCTCTTGTGGGCATTTTGGGTGGTTTTCCCCTTTTTTTTTTTTTCTGTGAAGAAAGATAAAAGCTGCTCTTTTGCCCCCAGATGATTGTATTTCCAAAGGATGGTGCAAAAATGGAGTGAAACGACCTGATAAACCCAACAAACCCACTGCCAAAATGTTGACCAACACTGAGAATCCTGCTGTCAGATGTAAGCATTCCATCGAACAGCACCGAGCAGCAGAATTCCAGCCGAGTTTAGAGAGACTGAAACTTCTGCAGGATTTCTTTTGGCTTCGCTGCACTAAAACCAGCCTCGGCGTTTAAAATCACCGCGCTGGGGCTTTTTGCCCGGTTTTGGTGAGGTTCTGTCAAAAAGAATACAAACCCCAAACGCAACCTGTGGCACTCCCGAGTGTGCTGTGAGGTTCCTGGCGCGAGTGGGAATTACTCCTCGGGACCTCCCTGCGCTCTCTGCAGACTGAGTGCGTTCCGCCTGCACCATCCTCTCCCTGTGAGGTTGCCGTGGTCCCTCGGGCCGGCGTTCAGGGCGCTCCCATCGCATCCCCCGCTCCCCCCCGATGGAGGGACCCCCCTTACCAGCAGCAGGGCGGCGCGGCCCGCGCGGGGGCAGCCCTGGGCAGCGGGCAGCAGCGGGCAGCGCTGGCTCAGCCCCTCCATCTCCGCGGCTGCCGAGGCTCCCATCGCTCCACCTGCGCTGCCCCGAGCTGGGAGCGCTGCCCGCAGCCAGCGCTGGCTCCTCCTCCTCTTCCTCCCCTGCAGGCTGGCACCCGCCTGCCTGCCCCAGCGTGGGGCTGAGCCATGGCCCAGGCGCCAGCACGGGGTCCCCATGGTCCTCCTGCATCCCCATGGGCTCTTCCCTGCCAGCCCCAGCCCTGGCACCCAGGCTCCCTGCCTGCCCCTTGCTATTCCTCACCCGCAGAGCTGCGGTCCCCCAGAAATGGGGTCCAACCGCAGCAGGGGTAAACGGACACCCGAACATGGGTGCTGTTACCACAACTGCACCAGCATCTGCTGGAGGAATCCCTCAGCACTGGGATCCCCCAACGCCATCTTGTTGATGCCACTTTTGCTTCATTTTCCTGCCTATAAAAAAAAGTTATTTTCTCAGATTTCATACCACTGGGGCTCTGTTCTCTTTGAATACAAACTGTGAAGAAGCTGCCGATCGTTGTCGTGCTGTTTGGGCCCAGAACGCTCCCGTGAGCAGCCCAGCACAGAGGCTCCATTCTGTCACCCTGTGACTTTACTGAGTTACCTCAGTCCTCACAAGCTATTAGGGAAGCCCATGTATTGCACAGCCCTTGCATCAGCAGCCTGAGCCTGGGCTCAGATAGGGCACTGAAGAAGCCTTGGGGAGGCATCAAAGACCCCCGAGCTTCGCAGTATGGCAATAGCCACGTATTTGCTACCCTCAGTTGTCTCTCCTCTTGTCCACGGGCTGAAAGTGACGTTTGTCCTCTTCTGCTGTGAAGCAAACCCTATGTTTTCCTGCAGCGCGTCCCACCATGAGGAGGCTGAGCTGTCCCCATCACTGCGAGAGGGGGTCCCAGCACTGCAGCCCCTTCCCAGCCCGCGGCACCCACTGCACAGCATGACACCGCTCTGCCCCTCCGTGCTGGCCGCGAGTGTGGCCCTGGAGGGTCCCAGTCCAGTGCCGCTGCCCAGGCTCGCTCCGGAACGGACCCCGGTTGCCCCTAGCCGCCATCACCGCCCCTCAGCCGCCATCACCGCCCCTCAGCCGCCATCACCGCCCCTCAGCTGCCATCACCGCCCCTCAGCCTTGGCCCCGCCCCTCCCACTCCTGCCCAATCAGCTTGCGAGGCGGGGCGCGCCCGCCATTTTGTTTACGGCGGTGCGGACGCGAAAGAAGCCCTTAGCGACGGCGCGGCGGTTGCTAGGGGCGGGGCGATCTCGCGAGGCTTGGAGGGCGCGCCAAGATGGCGGAGGCGGTGTGGGAGCTGCTGGAGCGGGCGGCGCGGCGGGCGGCGCGGCTGGAGGAGCTACGGGCCCTGCGCCTCGCCCTGCAGGCCGTGCCCCCCGCCGCCCTGCGCGCCCGCCTCAGCGCCGACCACCTCACAGCGCTCTTCGACCTGCTCGGCGTCAGTGACCGGTGAGCGCCGCACCGGCCCCGCGGGCCTGCCCCGGCCCCGCAGCGCCCTGTCCACCCGGTGGCTCCCGGGGCTGCCCCGTCTGCTTCCCCGCCCTGCTTCAGCGCGGCGGCTCCGGAGCACCCGGCGGCGTCCCGCTCCTGAAAGGGCTCTTTTCTGTCTCTGTGCCGCCCAGGGAGCAGGTGGCTGCGTGTGTTTCCATCCTGGAGAGGCTCCTGCCGGCCCTGGACCCGGTCTATGTGATCCAGAACCTGAGGGAGGAGCTTCAGAAAGGGCTGTTCCACCCCGATGACTCCGTGAAAATCCTCTCCATAGCTCAGGTACAGGGGTTTCCTCCGGAAGGAGGGGACAGAGCTCCGTTTTCAGCCAGGCTGGGTTAGTCCTAACCTGTTACTGTTGTTCCATGTCCTCATGAGTGGCAAAAGCACTGCAGCAGGTGGTATATGCAGGAGTTGTGCACTTACACAGTCATGGAGCTTTGGATAAATGCTGTGCAGTGTGTTGGTATATAACGCTTTGGGATGTATCTGTTCAATGTGACATCTAAAACTATGTCGTGACAGCAGTAACTTGTAAATGAATCTCCTTCCACATGTGCTGGATAAAGCTCTCTAAGCCAGCACTGGTAGCAGGTGCTGTAAGAATTAAGTGCAGCAGCATTGCGATAGTCAGGATGCTTTGAACGGTCTTGTGGAAGTAATGAAGACTGGGATGTAGTAACTTGACACTTGTTGCGTTAATTTAAAAGAACAGAATCAGGGAACACTGTGGTTTAGAATAGGCTTCAAGAGGTTTCACATTCAGCCCCTCTGAAAGCAGGCCCAGCTTGCAGCAGGCTGCTCAAAGTGTTTGTCCAGTGGAGTTCAGAGGGGCTTTTGACATGATTCTGTCTGTTGGTAGCTGTTCTAGTGCTTGAATGGCCTTACAGGAGAAAAAGCTGGTTTAATGTATTTCGTCTTCCTTTTTTCCTGTATTTAATCACGTTTAGGTCGGGAGGATTGTTGAAAATTCAGATGCAGTTACAGAAATTCTCAACAGTCCTGAACTGTTAAGGCAAATAATAAATTGCATTGGTGGGGAGAGAATAGCAGTGGCTAAAGAGGTAAGTGCTGCTTGCTTTCTTCCTCTACAAACTGATGTAGACACCACACAGAACACCTTTTCTACTGTGTCTGAGATCATGACCTCTGCTATTGTTTTAATAAAAAATAGCTTATGTTGCCTTAAAGATTCTACAAACAGGCAGGTGCTCTGAGCCTGGAAATTACTTAGATGTGATAGAAAATTTACATAGAACTGTTATGTCTCAGTAGCTGTTTATGCCAAAGTGAACTCGGAGCTGATTTTGGTGCCAGAGACTCGGGTCACAGTAACCATAAGCAGCTCCCCTTAATGGAAAGTCAATCACAATTAAAATTTTAGGTGTAGAACTTGCTTTAGTAAGTTAAGAACATTGAAACTAAGTCTGACTGTCTTGTGGCTTTGCTTTTAATACTAAGCTCTTGTTTTTGCTTCCAGGCCATCAAATCCCTCTCCAGAATAGCACAGACGCAAGATGGTTTAGAGGCTTTGTTTGTGAGCAGTTTGTTGAGTGACTTGAAAAATGTCATGGCAACAAGTGACGTTGTTCGATACCGAGTGTATGAGGTAGGGATGTGATCAAGGTCAGCCTTTGACTGGCGTGATACTGTGGTCCTCTTGCACTAGCTCTGCATTGCTGTGTTTTATGGCTTTTATATTAGCATGCATCACTGGTTTACAAACTTCCCTTCATGTCTGCGTTTTGTCAAGACAAGAAAGGAGTAGGAAGAGTTCAGCAGTGTTTGCCCTCCAATAATGACATAGCTCTGTTTACTTCACACTTCCGTAGCATACTGTTTCCATCTTCTATTCTGCAACTTGTGTTGCCCAGGGCGTTGGAGGCCTACACAGAGTTAATAAAGACACAGCAAAATGTTTGCTTCTCTGAAAGCAAAGTAGCTGCTATAGTCTCTTAAGCTTTGGGTGTGAAGCTTTGAAACTTCTGGAGGGAGGAAGAGACTGAGAAGAAAGATGCCAAATGTGTCAGTCTAAATATGTATTGCAAAGGAGAAGTAATAGAGTTTAGCCAGCTTAATGAGGATAACATCTGAATAAGAAATAACTTTGAGCAGAAATCAAATATATGTGTTATAAATTTGGAGCTCCTTATGAACTTGTTTAAAGCAAATATCTAAGTTAACTATGAAAACGTCATGAAATTCTGTGTTTAATACAGATAGTCAGCATTATAAGACTTGTTTGGCTGTTACTGTGAATTGTTATCTCTAGAATGTTTTTAGAATCCATCCCTTTTTTTGTTTCCCTCTGCTCTTAGTTAATTGTTGAGATTTCTTCAGTGTCAGCAGAGTCCCTAAATTACTGTGCAAACAGTGGATTAATATCGGAGTTAATTGGCGAGCTGACTGGAGATGACATGCTGGTCAGGTATGTTGGAAGTGAGTTTGTCAATGAGATTTCCCCCATTTATGTTTGGATTTTGCCTTAAGGGAAGAAAACCAGTTTGTTCTTAGTCAAAGAGGGCTTCAAAACGCCATCTGAAATAGGCCAAAATACGTGTCTGTTACAGGGCTACATGCATAGAGATGGTGACCTCGCTGGCCCATACCCCACACGGGCGTCAGTATCTTGCTCAACAAGGAGTTATCGATAAAATTTCCAACATCATTGTTGGAGCAGAGTCTGATCCGTTCTCAAGCTTCTATTTACCAGGTAACATCATTCGTTTCTTGCTTCCAGTGTTTACTGCTTGCTTTAGTCATGAGTTAAACTGGGAGGACTGTCAAGCCTCTGAAAGCTCATGTGAACACTTGAATATAAATATATATGCTGGATAGATATGAAAAATGCTGAAGGACATTCTAACACATGAATAATATTACTCATTAACAGGGGTAGTACAGGCAAGACCTGAAGAGACTGTGCTAAAGCTTTGAAGTCTGTGTTATTGTAGCCTTTTTTTATCCATGATGTAGCAGCTGTCTGGAATTCATTGAGTAACTTCCAAAATACTCTCCTGTTCCTTAGCTGTCCTTATTCTGATGCATTTCACAAGGATTCAGTTTCAATAGCTAGCACTAGTTTAGCTGCAAAAAGATCTTAATGTATGTTTAATTTTGCCATTGCTAAAGTTATTGTGCCCTCGCCCTGAATGCTTCTTTTTTCTCTTGTTCCCTCAGGATTTGTTAAGTTTTTTGGGAATCTGGCTGTTGTAGACAGTCCACAGCAGATCTGTGAACGATACCCGGTCTTCATAGAGAAAGTCTTTGAAATGGCAGAAAGTCATGATCCGACCATGATTGGAGTGGCTGTGGACACACTAGGCATCCTGGGATCAAATGTGGAAGGCAAACAGGTTTTACAGAAAACCAGTTAGTATCTGAAAGTTGTCAGTCGTTGTGTTGGTTTGGATTGGATACTTCTCTTTCTACTGGTGTCATCAGCCTCTTGCCATGACTAGAAAACCATGCCTGCTCACATAATGATGCTTTCTGTAAAGGCTGCGTTGTTTTCTTTAATAGGAAGATTGAAAGGAGATGCTGGACTACTTGCTTCAAATCCAGTCCTTGATTTTTTAAGTGGAAATCAGTATTAGCAGATAGCTATTGGAGTATTGTAAATGGGACTGAAGACTTCTGATTACAAGTGTGCTAGGGTCTGTACTTCCTGAGATGGCTCGGTTGTGACACACAACTTCCTTTCTGGAAATGTTTGGATAGTCTGAAGAATTAATGTAAAAGCTTTGGATCTGTCTACCTTAGATCCTTATGAAGCAAAGAGACCCTTACACTGCTTTTGTGGTAGTAGATCAAGAAGTTGCCATTCTCAGGTGTAATGTACAGCACTCTACCAGTTGATGTAGTATAACTGACAGGTAACTCCCTACCCCTGTAGAGGTCTGTCTGAATTAACTAAAATCACTTTGTTTTTATGTTCCAAGGAAGTAGATTTCAGAGTCTGTTGAGCAAAATAGGGCACCAGGCAAAGAATGCCCCCACGGAGTTACGCCTTCGATGCTTGGATGCGATTTCCTCTCTTCTTTACTTGCCTGTAAGTTTGTGGTTTGGTTTGCTATCTTTTAAATCTACAAGAATGAAATTATTGTGTATCTGACTGTGTGAAGACCTTTTGCAGCATCAAGCTTAGGTAGAAGTGGGAGCTTTCTAATGTTCCAAGTCATTAACTTTACTGGTTTGAATTTCTCCTGTTTGTTTGCTTCAAGTCTGGAGTTTGTTTATAAGAAGCCAGGTGTTCTGAACTCATGTTTATAAAACATGAAGTCAAAACATCCTTGGCAAGGGAATGAGAGTCAACAGTTTAATATGATATGGTTTTAATAGGATAGCTCTAAATGAGTGAATAAGCCATTTCCATTTGTCTGGCAGGGCTGCTCTCCAGCACAGCACTTCTCTTGTGTATCAAGATCAATTTATTTAAATGTCTCCTCCAAGCCAAATGAAATAGAGAAAGCCATTTCTTCAGTCATGGAAATATGTTGAGAATTTAAACTATTTGAGTTTAATCTGCTAGTGGCTTACTGTAAATAATTTCCTTAACTATTGAATGTACACTCAAGACATGAAAGCTTTTCAGAATCCTAATGAAACTCTTTCTGTACGTGATGCATGTAGCCAGAGCAGCAGACAGAAGACCTTTTAAGAATGACTGAATCCTGGTTCACATCCTTGTCTAGCCAGCCACTGGAACTCTTCAGGAGCATCAGTACTCAGCCATTCCCTGATCTCCACTGTGGAGCTTTACGGGTGTTTACTGTAAGTGCTTTTTGGTTTTAAAGATCAGGTAGTGAGTTGTAATCCTTTGGATGTTTGAGGTTTTCTAAGTGAATGCCATAGACCCCTTCTTGAAGCCCACAGGGGGTCAGAAAGAAGTCCTTTTTCATTATGCCTTACTTGTGTTCACCATTTAAATAATGCATCAGACATGTCATGTCTGTAATGCTTATTGCCTTATGAATTGAAGTGTGGGGAAGCATCAGCCATGCTCTAGGGTGCTGCTTCGATATCAGAGGCACTGCTGTGATAATTCACTTAACTTGAAAGATAAGCACTGAGCTGTACTTATTTTCCAGTACAGTTAAACCCTGCTGCTTGATTTGAGTGGTGGTTGTGTAACTGCTGTTTAGAATGAATAGGCCATTTAAGTTTTCCTGTTCTTTGGCTATTGCATAAGTGTACTCTATAACTGTGTTTTGGAGTTTTAAAATGTTTCCCTCTTTCCCCCTCGCCTTCTCTTTTCATGTTTAGGCTATTGCCAACCAACCATGGGCCCAGAAGCTGATGCTTGACAGTCCGGGCTTCGTGGAGTACATTGTAGACAGATCTGTGGAGCCTGACAAAGCCTCAAAGGATGCCAAATACGAACTGGTCAAGGCCCTTGTAAACTCTAAAACAATTGCAGAAATCTTTGGGAATCAGTATTACTTGAGGCTTAGAGCTTATTTGCATGAAGGCCCTTACTATGTTAAGGCAGTTGCTACTACAGCTGTGGAAGGAGCAGAGTAATGTCACTGGTGTCTTGGTTCCCCTTGCAAACCGTGTTACTGAAATAGGTGTAAAGACTCCCCATGCCGGAGTCTCTTTAAATTGTCTCTTTAAAGGAACATGAAGCACTTCAACTCTGAAATGAAAGTCATGAGAGCAAATCAAAACCTATAGGGCACCGTGTATTTTCCCATAGAATGTCATGGCAGAAGTTCTCTGTGTACTGCTGTGAGCCAGGTAACCAAGGTGAGCACTGTCAACTGCTGGCTGGTTTACTTGGCAGAAACGATTGGTGTTTGGTTAAACTCTTGTTGGGTTTGGAGTTCCTGTTGTGTCTTCTCAGTCGATCACAGTTCAATTAAAACCAAACCAACACCAAAACACCTCAAGGTTTGTAGCCTCAGCTGCTGCCACAATTTCTGTATTTGTTCTTATATCTGCCAAAGTTGGCACTTGCATGGAGCACACTCTTCCAGCCAGGCATATTCTGTCAAAGCCCAGCTGGTAAGAATGAGCTAGTAGCCTTCTGTCCACAGGAGGGAGTACGAACTGGATTCTCTCCTATTTTCAACTTGCTGGGTGTGAGTTGTGCTTGAATAAATAATCCTAGATATTGTTTACACTCTTTATGCTGAGGATGTGGGGTAGGAAAAAGCTATTAACCCTTTAAAAATAAAGGAATACACACTCTAGTGTGTAACAACCAAATTGGGAGCTTTGGCTCCCTGGCTGACTGCGGCTGTGTATGGCAGCTCAGTTTACTCGCTTGAAAGGAGCGTGAGCTCTAGCACTGCAAGTCTGCTTCAGAACCAAATCTGAAATTGTTTACACTATTTTTTAACTTTTTTTTTTTAATTTTAAGGGTTATTTTTAAGAAAAGTACTATTTTAGTTGCCTGAGTTAGACTAAAAGGGTTAAGAACATAAAGTTTTCATGTTTAAGGGCATGAACTGAATTAGGAGTACAAAATGTAGTACGTTACCATGTTGTCATCGTCTTTTGAAGATGGTCAGCTAGCTGCTGCTGAGATGCAAGCTGGACACTAGTGACATGATGTATCTTTATCCATAAACAGAGACCATGATATACTTTATACAGAAGGTTTATATTATTTTTTGTTGAGGACATAAGAAATCTAAGGAATAGTTTGGGGGGGGAGCATAATAAAACATGAAATTACTACTTTTTTGCTTATTTTAGTAGTGTGTCTGGTCAGGTGTATGTCTATGGAAATGACTTGCCCTGTGTCCCTGCTCTGCCAAGTGAAGCAGGATGAGCTACTCGTGCAGTAACTCTCTTCCTGCTTGTAGTAACTTTGACCTGCAGCAGAGGTGATGGTATTGCCTGCCAAAATTTGCTGGCAAGGAGTCAAAGTGGGCTCGGAAGGCCAAGGTAGGTAGGTGAGGAAGTTCCCTTAAGATTAAATAAGCTGTTGGAATGGAAGTGATCTGCTTTGTTGCTTCTGATCTAAGATGTATAAAAGTTGTCATCCAACGTTATCCTGCTGCTGACGCTTTCATCCTAGATGTGCATAATAAACATCTGCTAGTGAGAAATGTGGTACATCGTGTCTCATTTGTGAACAGAGAGAGCTCAGAACCTTCCTGCATCCAGCAAAATATGAAAGCACTAAAAAGGATATGAAACAGAGTACAGAAGTCCCGAGTTTGTGCTTGTATTGGACAACTTAGCTTTGTTGGTTTAGGTGGCTTTGTGTGCTGGTAGCTCTGTATGAGCTGTGTGCTCAAATCTCAGTAAAGGAAACTGATGTAGAAACCTTTTCTGCAATTCATGAGTCTCTTCCATGTGTGTTTTCAGCTGTTGCCTTTGAAGGCTACTCTGTGTGCTAAGTCTTTAGCATCTGCTTTGCATGGTACGTTTGCCAAATACAATGTTTTAGAATACACAGAGATGCCAAACAAGGGGATTTTTGTATGTGCACATATGCTTTCTTTTGCTGAGCTTTGAGCTCAACATTCCAATTAATTGGTCAGGTGCTCACCCCTTACTACATGTAGTTCCCCCCTCATCCTGTGTACTGCCAGATGGCTTATGGGTTGCTGTATCTTGTATGTAATGGAAACATTTAAGTGCGTTGTCCCGTCTTCCCCTCTGTAAAGTAACAAGTGGAGAGAATTGAGATAAAACCAGAAATGGAATGTTAGAGAATGAGAACTGAGGTAACACGCTGAACCTGCATGAACTTGGTTTAAAAATGCCAAACCCACAGCCCAGACCACCTCATCTGACCCTGGTTAACAAGCAGCATAACTTGGTACTTAAGAACTGCGGATCCTTTGGAGCACACCTCCACTTCCTTCAGAGCAGGTGAGGCCCTCAGAGGTACGTGTTTGTCTCATCCCACATGTGTCTGTCACAGCTGTAGAGCAAATCTGCCCAGCTGGTCTTTCTGCTGCTGAAATTGCTGATGCAGAAGAGTTAACCTGGAGGATGTAGGCACGGGTGGGCTTTGTGTTCTGTTCCTAATGGGGAATTTTTGCACTCGGATAGTGTTGTTACCACTGTGTTGGGGAATGTGTTCTGACTTCACTGCCTATACTCTTCTCCAGCGTAACTGTGGCACTGAGCTACTTGTGTCAGTGTTCCTCTGATGCCATCACTGACAGAAATACAGGATTCTCTAGCAGGTGAGTTAGATTTCTTGCCTATGATCTCCCTGGGCTGCTCACCTGAGCAATTCCCGTGATGGTTTGATGTCTATTCCCACTGTAAACTAGTTCCACCGGTGCTGTAAAATGGGCTGCTCAGAAGTAGCTCCCTTTTGTGGGCAGGAAGATTCCCCTTTGGTACAAAAGACTTTGGGGTAGATGATGCCTCAGGTGCAAAAGGAGCGTTGGCATAAAGTAGAGAACTTCAAAAGCCTGAAAACACTGGACACAAAGTTTCTTGGAATATTCTGTTTTACTTGTATTCATGCACTTGTAGGTACTTGAGTAGTTAAGGGTACATCCAGCTCTGCTGCTCTAACACACTATAGCATTGGGAGTTCATCTGCTGTGGAAGGAAAGAGACCTAACCTTGAGAGGACATTGTTATTCCTGATGTTAAAGGATAAAAACAGCTGGTAAAAGGAAATTCAGTCTTTCTACACAAACATTAAGTCTTAGTTGACAAAATGAAGCACCTCATTTTTTATTCCATCCAAGTTAAACTGTTTGAACTTATCAATATAGGTCAAAACCTTGCAGGACACCAGACTGTAGTAAGTTTCCAGTAAAGAGCAATCTTTCCCATCGCTTGTTTCCTTCCAGTCTTTAAATAACTCGTCCTCTTCCATGTTGGAAGAGGTGAAAATGAATTTATAGCAGCATCGATTGTAGCTGATGTGCTTCTCCCCAGAAAACCGGGAGCTGTGAATGGGAGTGATGCCAGCTCTTTTAGCACAGATCCCAACAAAGACATCGGGGGGCACTGACCCTGCCACCTCCTTGGAGGCCACAAACACCTTGCGAGCAGCATCCTGTGACATGATGAAGGCGCTCCCTTCACAGTAATCTGGGTAAAGCTCCTCTGGGTATTGATGGATGGGAACAAAGCCAGGGCTCTGAGGGTCTCTGTCGGGCACTCCTTGATGAATGACCTTTCCAATGTAGATGTCCTCGAGTTGTGTTAGGCTAAGCAAGTATTCAGCCAGACTGGGAACACCAACGAACATGTCTTCATCTGCTTTAAGGATATACTGTGCATGGGAGCAGAAAGTCACTGTCCACTCCACACTCATCAACATCTTCTGTGTCTGTGTGCCAGGAGAATCGATGAAACTGCCTTCAATAATGTCTCTGTGCTCTTGAGACTCCTCATTGATCTCCAGCTGGGTGGTTACTGAAGCTGCCTTTCCTAAAGCAAACAGAGTGAGGACAGTGTGATCTCTGGTGTCTGTCACGTTGCCCCATGTCTGCCTGATCACGTTGCGTCTTGTCCTGTTTTCTGGGCTGCTGAAGACCAGAACGAGCAGGAATACCTCTTGATCGGAGCACGTTGCTGCGCTGTTGATGGTGTAAGAGAGATTGGCTTTCAGAGGCTCTGTATCGAGCTGCCTGGCCCGCTCCCTGATTTCCAGAGCCTTCGCATCCGTGTACGAAAGAGGCAATGACCGCAGGAAGTATTCCTCCAGTAAATCTGCTCCAAAAAGCAGCACGTGGAAAAGCAAGACATTAAAGAGAATGAAGCACCACTGGTGAGTCCGCAGCCTGCAGAGGGTCAGCTGGGGAGGAGAAGACACACACACTGGATTCTCTTGCTCCTACAATACAGAAGCTTCCCTTCATTTAGAACATATCCATGCAAAACAATCACAACTTTTAGACCGTGGTCTCTGTATCATTAGTGCAAGGCTCTCTTCCTAGAAACCACAGCAGCCCTGCTTCTTGTGGTGCAGCAGGATCCCAAGCCGAGAAGGACATCACTCTAGTTTAGGAGGCTTTTTGTGCATCCATGTGTAGAAATACTGAGGAATATCTCACTATTAACGTTTTCTGACTGTTTTTAACCTGCTACTGATGGCTTGAGATGCTAACGCAGATCTGTAATGTTAAAATGTGTCCTCAAAGGTGAGCCTTTGGTACCTGGCCTGAGTTCTTGGCACAGTTTGAATCATAGAAGCCTCATGCTAGCCCCCTGAGTAACGATCCAAATCACTTACCTGCATGGTGGTGGGAGTTCTCCCTGCAGCAGGGTCTGTGTCAACACCAGAGGCAATTTCTCCCTGGCAGAGGCTTTTGGGGCAGTGTCTTGTATCTGGATCTGCAGGATCCAGTTACTGCCCAGTGCCCAGAGACCGTGGCTTCCCCTTTAGCTGCGTGTGGGAGGAAAGCTGATCCAAGGGGATGATCGTGTTGCAGCTGCATAAAACACAAAGCAAACAAAACCTGAGCCTTTCCCTCTATTAATTTCTAGCACCTGGGGCTGGGTGTCTCAGAAGCACAGAAGCGCAGCAGCTGCTCAGGCTCACTGGTGAAAGGGGTCCTTTGGTACCCTTGTGAATCTGTGCTAGGTCTGCCAGGTCGTTGCTGTTTCTTACAGCTGTGCCAGTGGGCTTGGCTCCCTGGTCCACGGCGGTTGACCCCTTCGCTGAGTGAGCACTCTGTGTCTCCCAGGGTGGAGGTTTGGGGTGTGAACCTGTGGGCTTCTCTTGTGGGGGTTCCCAATTGCAGAACACCCTAAGCCCATGGGCACTGCTGGGCCAGGCTGTCTCTGATGGAAGCAGAGGTGTGCTTTCAATGAGCCCCTGGGAGCAAGGCAGGGACAAGGGGCTGTGCAGTGGGAGCTGATGGTGTATGGCCACGAGGCTGGGGATATTCTGATGTGTCCCACCACCTCTTGCCCCTTCCAGCCAGGCTGTAACAAGCTGCATTGGGTGTTCCTTTGCTTTCTCTCTGTAATAACGGTTTTAAATGACCCTGTGTATTTGTGCTTTTGTGGTGGCTGCGTGTCCTGGGGCACTCCTGCCTTCAGTGGTGGCCTCGGCTGCTCCAGAGCATCCCTGTGTTAATGTTGGCACAGCCACGGCTGGGCTGGAGCTGACTGGGCTGGGGAGCCGCAGGGGGCTGGAAGTGCTGGAGGGGGAAGTGCCAAAGACACCACGAACAGGATGGAGGTGTCAGCAGGGGTGAGGGCTGGGTTTGGCAGCAGCTCTGTGAGCAGGGGAGGGGGGGAACGGGGCTTGTGGGTCCCTGGAGGGGACAGAGGATGGGAACGATGCTGTTTGATGGGCAAATTGGGGCAGGAGGTGTCAGCCTGCACCAGCACAAGGACAGGACCTTCAGCCTCCATGCAGGAGCACAGAGGTCATGGTGTGTTTATCAGGGTTGGAAAGGTTTCTCGTAGCAGTTCTGTTACTGCACCCTTAGGTGAAAGAGTGTGAGGGGAATGCGGCATCGCTGCGGTTTGCTTTAGCTGTGTGCCTTGCAAGGGTGCGATGCTCTGACCATTGCAACCCTCCCTGAAGCATCCTTAGGGCAGGTGGAGCAGAGCTTTGATTTCTGGTGTGACCAAGGGGGTTAAGTCCCCAGCCCTGAGCCCCTCAGCTCTTCCAGTGCCTGCCCCTGGGTCTGTGGCAGTGTGGGACCTGATGGGAAATCTCATTGATCACAGCAGAAACCAGGTCCCCACAGTGTGGTTACAGCTTGCAAAGCCAGCCTAAACATGGGCCGTGGGCAAGTGCCAACGTGGGGCTCTGCTTTAGACTCCCCAAAACCGGGGCCAAAGCCCTTTCCTAGGGCCCGTGTGTCAGCTGGGCTGCAGCTTCAGCTGGACCAGCCCCACAGTCACTGGAAGTTGTGCTTTGAAGCTGGGCAAGCTGTCAGCACGGGAAGTGTCAGTCAAATGTGTTCTCTGAAAGGAAGAGCTAATAGGGCAGTATTTGTCACGTACAACACAGCTCTACAGCCCTAGACACTCATTCTGGGCAAAAACCCCCCTTTGAAGATGCTCCATCTCCAGCTAAACCATTAAATAAGCAAATAAATACAAGCATTTGAAAGGCCCTACGTTAAAACCTCTGTGTTTAGAGTGCCAATAGGGTAATGAAAGCCAC